CTTTCAAATTTTGACCCTTTGTTCCTAATACCAGAGGGGTCCCATAGGAATTTTCTTAGAATTTTTAGGTGCATTTTACTAAAAACATTTTGCATTCTGACCTATCCTTGTGTGTTTCCAACTCTACATCTTGCCTAGTTTGCATTTTGTGTGATCTTTTTGCAATACTTGTGCATCCAACTCTTGCATATTCATGTTGTAGACATCTTAAGCCACTTGTGTGATGAATTTCAAGTCTTAATCATGTTCATACCTTGCTCCTAACTTAGACTTCCTTTAGGACCTTTCCTTTAGCCTTCCCATGTGAATACCCTTGGATGATCTTCATCTTTGCATGATTCTTTTGCCATTTCTTTGCTCATTCTTTTTCCACATCTTCTTCTTCAAAATTCCTCTTTGTCCTACAATCTTAGGATCCTTCTTGTGAGAGCCTAGTTCCAGGAGGAACTAAAGGCATTCCATAAGAAGTTGAACCTTTGAGGACTCTTGTGTTGATACGCATTGGATGTGATGAGTTTGGTTGAGTGTCATAGTAAGTTCCCGTGGTTCTTACTTTGCTTCCCATCATCATTCTCTTCATTCATTCCTCTTTGTCCTACAATCTTAGGATCCTTCTTGTGAGAGCCTAGTTCCTCCTGTGGGGGAACTAAGGGCATTCCATAAGAAGTTGAACCTTTGTGAACTCTTGTGTTGATGCACATTGAACTTGATGAGTTTAGTTCTCCCTTTGATTCCTATCATCTTGTTTATCCTCTTCTCCTCCTGTTGTTTGATTTGGTGCATTAGGATCCTCCTGTTATTTGATTTGGTGCATTAGGATAGCAGTGCATGTGTAGGCATTCTTTCTCTTAAGTCCATGTTTGCATTAAAGGTTGAGGTGTCCTCTCTTGCTTGTGTGTTTCTTTTTCCTTTGTGTTTGCTTGTTTGCATTAAAGGTTGAGGTGTCCTCCCTTACTTGTGTGTTTCTTTTCCCTTTGTGTTTGCTTGTTTGCATTAAAGGTTGAGGTGTCCTCCCTTGCTTGTACTGTCATGTGCATTCATTCACATTTTACACATGATGATTTTCTTTTGTTTCTCTTTCCATTGCCATGTTACCTTAGGATTCTCACTTCCTTGTTTCAGGATAGTGATGATAGAGACTAGGCTATGAGAACAATAGGTAGTTTCCCCTTCAATCTTAACCATAGGTGTACTTTGCATGACAACTCCTAGGTTGAATTAGTTTCCCTCTAGTTTGTCCTTTCTCTTTCTCATCCTCAAATAACTTCAAAATACATGATAAAGCCTAATGAGTATTGTACGTTACGAGCCTTAAGCTACTTGGAAAATGGTGATTGGGGGGCTTCTCCTCAATTACCTAGAGTGTTTAGTGTACGCCCTTAGGGCGACGCATTCGTTCCTAGGTCATAGTACGATATGAATTACAAACATTCATTCAAAACACTTCTTCCATAAAAGACTTCAACACAAACAGTCATAACTGCTGGAACTGTAGTTTAACCTTACTCGAATAAAACAGACGAACAAACATGTGTTCTCCTTATCCCAAACTACGTAAGCTCTGGTTAGATAGATAAACAACCCTTAGATAAGCATAAGCAAACAAGCGTGAATCCCGTTGAGGGTGCTAATACCTTTCCCTTGCGTAATCGACTCCCGAGAGATTTTGTTGCGATGACCGATCTTATCCCTTTTCGCTAGGTTTTTTCCTGATCGTTTCATTTCCCTCAAAGGATAAATAACGATAGGTGGCGACTCTTCTGTCATTGCCGGCACCTTTATTTCGCAATAGCAGATCTGATTAGTCTGACACCACTTAAGAAAATCCTTGTAGCTTAGCATAGGGTTCTGAATAGAAGGTGAAGTCTGTATAGTGTCTGGTTTGTCACTTTGAGCTGCATTTACCTGCCGTGGAGGTTTGTCATGTAGCTTCCAACAATGGTCGATAGTATGTCTATGCCAGTTACAATAGTCACACTTGGGACGAGGTTTGGAGTTGGATGACCCTCCTCAAGGGCGATTCTGATTGTTGCCAAGAGGTGCAAGGGAAGCAGTGTTACATGATGTTGGAGCAACAGTAGATGGAGGGCAACATTTGTTCACTAACATTATAGTTAGGAATAGTAGTATCTGATAAAATCTGGTTACGAACGGAGTCGAGTTCGGATGGTAGTCCTTTAAGTTGTTTGGCATGATAAAATCTGGTTACGAACGGAGTCGAGTTCGGATGGTAGTCCTTTAAGTTGTTTGGCATGAGCTGTTGCATCTTTTGTGTGGTTAGGTGATCTTGTGTGGTTAGGTGATCTTCATATCTCTGACCATGAAACCACATATCGACAGCACGAGCCCATATGTTATAGTTTGTTGATCCGATTAGTTTTTCACATGGGATAAGCGGAACTTTAAACGAGACATTGTCTCTTAGTAGGCTCTAGATACCATGTTAAAATAAGAGAGACTAAGAGACATTTAAATTAAACCGTGTTTTGAAAAGCACTACGGAGACATTATTATATATAGATAGATTACAACTAATTACATGATATAGTCGTCGATGTGGGACTATTCTATATAAAAATATTTTTAATATTATATATATTTACAAATATCAACAGTAATAATTGGTATATTATTTACCATTGTTAAGGGTGTATTCTTCTATACCATTCTCAAAACGTGTTTGTATCATATTGTAAAATTGAATGAACAATTGAGGTACTTTTGATTTATTCTTCATTAAAAAAATCTAAGTTATTTAAAATCATCAACAAGGAAAACAAATTATTTTGCACCAGATATATTAGAAATAGGGGCAAATTCCCAAACATCCGAATGAATAAGATAAAATGATTCAACACTAATAAAACTAGAAGGTAAAATAGTCTAATGGCATTGAGAAAACCGGCAAATGCCATATTCAAAAGACTCAATTAATTTTTTTAAAAATAAAGATGAAAACATACACTTTTTAACTGAAAAAGGAGGATGATCAAGACATTTTTGCTGAAGTCATATCTATATGACAAAAGAATGAGACTTTGACTTAGACTGGAGTGCAAAAGACAACACCTTTGACCAATTTATGCATAAGAAAAATGGTATAGCCTTTTCTATTCTTTAGAAACTCAATTCGTTTTCTTTGTTGCAAAATCCTAAAAAGAACGATGAGAATCAAATGAATTAGTACAAGGTTTTGGTCCTAAGTAAGCTTTTAAGTGAAATGTCCGAGAACCATCAACATCACTAATGCAATGAATACTAGAAGGGGAAATATATGAAAAACACTTTTAAGTGAAATGTCATATTATCGGTAACTCCAAAGTTAAGAGTCCAAACAATCCTTAAGCATAGTACCTGAAACACTAAGTGATTAAGAGAAAAAGCTCTTATCACTCACTCTCTTACTCACTTTCTTACTAGAGACGCGGGAATTTTTGTTATTAATTTCTACTATCTAATCGGAAATAAAGCGCCAGATGAAAAAAACCAAAAAACAGAAGCAGTTTGAATATTCTAAGATTTGACTAAATTTTGATAAAACATGATGTTGAACAAGATGTTCTAGCATGAAGAAATTTGTAAAGAATATGTTGGATAAGATGTCCTATCTTGAAGACTCGACATCTTGGTCTGATACAGCAGGTTTGTTACAGATATGTTCCAAGATTTAAGGCGCAATCGGAACATGGATCAAAGAATGATTGAACAGAGATTTCGAAGCCCATGGACAGCAGAAGATTATAAAAGGAAGACCAAGACCTAGGACAAATCATCAGTCCTTGTTAAGACTTTAGTAAAGTAAAAATAAGGGTTTAGAGTTTTGAGAGTCGTGTGCTTTTCTTGTAATGTAAGTCACCCTTTGTATCGATTTGATACATTGTGGTAGACATAGTTTTGCATATTCAGAACCTGTAGGTAATGAATTGTATATTGTTTTTGGATGAAGCTTTTAAGCAAATTCAAGTATTAGTGTTAGTAATGAGTATTGACTGAATATTGTGTTGAAAGAGTTGTCTTTCAATTGAACAGTTTGATACAGTCACTGGAGGTTGTGACTGTTAGATATCACTGAGGTGATTTAGGAATTGAGAAGGTTTTCTCTTATTTAGATGGTTTCTAGGTAGAAGTTGCACTGGGTAGGGATTAAGTGAGGGGTTGTAAATGGAGAAGTTTAGCTCTGAATTAATACCAGTGAATTCATTCCTGACTTGGTAGCCTCCAGATGTAGGTGTTGTTGCACACCGAACTAGGTCATCATATCTTGGTGTTACTTATCATTCTGCTATGCATAATTCAGTCTATTCTTGTGCTCTAAAATATGTCTTAACAGATGTTAAAACAACTGTCATGACACTGTTATGACTTTGAGATATCAGAATGTTTTTGTTTTGTCCCTGTGTAGTTAAGTAGAGATCAGTGTCTCGACATCTCTTAAAACGTCTGAGATCTGCATATCAAAATTTCACTGTTGTTTAACAAAAAAATGAAGAGCAAGATCACTAATTTGTTATAAAAATGAAAGATTGAATGTGACTTAAAAAAACAAAAACTCAAACACCAAGTATCTTCAATCTAAATTTTGATCTCCAATGAAACCAAAAGGCTTTGATCTATAGCTGTTGAAGAGTGCGACAACAAAAAAACACCAAAAACTGCCACATGGTTTACATGGGCCAGTGAGGCTGATGCTAGGGCCGCTCACGCATCAGAACAAGGGTGGCGCGTGTGAAGGCGGCACTGGCGCTGTTTTTCAGGGGATGTAAGGTGGGATAAGGAAAATGGATCAACCGGAAAAACATAGATTACGGTTGCATTTTGATAGACTCCGGATACCAAGTTGAATGAGAAAATGAGAGAGAGAATATGGTGAAATCATACCGTCTAAACTACATTAAGAGATTCTATTATATGCACTTAGAAACAAATCAATATATAGTTAGTTTATTAACTACAATAGAATATGATATTTAAATATCAACAGTCACAATGAAGAAACTCACGTTTGGAACATTCAAATTGCAGACACGAATTTGTTCCTCTGAGATAGTGATGTAAGAAATAGAAAAGTTAGTATGATTAGTAAAAATAAGATTCATCACATAATAAGTGCAAACACGAATATGTATATGTATATGCATGTTTTAGTATTTATAATGTCAAACTTACACGTCATTGCGTGCCCATGAAGGAGAAAATAAGTTCCTGTGACATATCATAGAAGTTTGTTTTTCAGAAAGGTTGTTAAGTTTGCAAACAAATGCACACAAATGAAAGGATTCTTACACTTTATCCTTTTTTTGACATATCTGACTCTCTTGATTGATGGTGAAGTTATTGTATGAAAGATCTCTATACATAAGTCGTAAAATTTAATTCAGAATATTATAACAATATGATGATCAGAGAGGGGAAAAAGCTGAAAAGAAAAAGTTTAGTTAGAAAGCGGAAAAAAAAAAACGATATATTTGTAGTACTTTTGCCACATAAATGAATTAAATTGTTAAATCTAAGGAATCATACTAGTAATATTAGAACGATAACTCACACATCCGCATTCATTCCCCAAGCAGGAGGCACTGATCCAGTGAGAAGATTTCCAGTTAAAAATCTACCATAAAAGAAATTCAGGATATTAATATACAAAGGTTAATAGTAAATAAGCTAGTCAGCTTTAATTGCAGCCATTTATCTCTACTCTATGAAGGATTGAATCAATTTATTCATGTATTGACTGCCGTGAGGGATCCTTCTATACAGAAAAGAGTTTTAATTCCTCTTCTTGTTCAAAATTTGCAAAAGACCCGACATGAAATCTGACAAAAAATGCTTCAGAAAGGTGCAAATAACTTTTGAAACACAATTCAAAGATAGATGTTTGTGGTCTTTATACTCACAAAAAGTATATAATTAGCAGAAATATTCCAAGCACTGAAAGTATTGCAACTATATAATAAATCAAGTTCCAACATGACTCATCCTTTACTATAACAATTAAACTTCGTCTGGACTATTTAAGCTCCATTAAATTGACATTTATTCATGTATTTAGGTTGAGTTTAATCCTCATGAATATATGTAGGAGTATTTAACTATTTTACATCAAACTGAAAGTTGAAACTAGACTTATACGTGTAAAGAAGCCAAAAAATGTGTGATAAAAAAGTACTCAAAGAAAAACTATGATAAGTTACATACATGAAATTCACACTGCTCATGGTAGCATAGTTAATCGGAATTGCTCCACTTAATTTGTTAAAGCTGAGATCTCTGAAAGGGATACCATGTCATTATGTTAAAATAATAGAGAGAAAATTTGTAAAAAAAAAAAAACATTCCTGCATTATAATAGCTGGAGATATAATTACAAAACACAAAACTGTCAAAGGCTAAAGAATAAGTTAAATTTGCCAAAAAAAAAAAAAAAAACATCAATGGTTAGCTATAGTCAAACAAAATTTAGGAAGTATGCAGTTACAAGTGTTTCAATGCTGTCAGATTCCCAATATTGTTGGGTAGTGTTCCATTGATGTTGCAATTCCTCATAACCCTGCAAGACGATAAGATAGACAACAATATACTATGAGTACCTTTTTTTTTTTGCATCTTCCTTTTGTTTTTGTTGAAATAAGCGAGACTAAGAAACATTTAGATTAAACCGTGTGTTTTGAAAAACACTACGGAGACATTATTATATATAGAGAGATTACAACTAATTACATGATATAGTTGATGTGGAACTATTCTATATACAAATATTCTTAACACCATATATATTTATAAATAGCATCACTCTCCCTCAAGTTTGAGCATATAAATCAAATGCACCAAGCTTGTTACATACATAATTTGTTCTGGAGCTTCGCATGAATTTTCTAAACACGTCTGCCAATTGATCATTAGAGTTGACAAAACTTGTGACGATGTCGCCTGACTCGATCTTCTCACTGGCAAAGTGATAGTCTATCTCAATATGTTTGGTCCTCTTATGGAAGACTGGATTTGAAGCAATATGGAATACAGCTTGGTTATCACAAATAAGTGTCATTGGTCTTACTTCTTCAATTTGAAGTTCCTTGAGCAACTGTTTTAGGGCATCGATGCTTGATCTTGCAACTACATTTTGTTTCTTACTTTTCCAGGATATAAAGTTTCCTCTAACAAGTACACAATACCCAGAGGTGGATCGTCTAGCAATGGGTGATCCTACCCAATCAGCATTGGAATATCCGACTATCTGAGTATGTCTTTTATCTTCATACACGAGACCTTTTCCTGAAGCACATTTGATGTATCTCAGAATCCGAATGACAACTTCCATGTGTTTCTGACAAGGGGAATTTAAGAACTGCCTTACCACATTAATTACAAAAGAAATATCCAGACGAGTGATTATGAGTTAATACAACTTTCCAACTAATCTCCTATATCTTTCTGGATCAGATAAAGGCTCCCTCTGATTGGGTAGAAGTTTGACACTTGGATCCATAGGAGTATCAGCTGGTTTAGCATTCAACAATCATGTTTCTTCCAAAATATCCATAGCATATTTTCACAGGAAAATCACCAAACCATCTTTAGATTGAGTCACCTCAATTCCCAAGAAGTAGCGGAGTTTACCAAGATCTTTTGTTTGAAATTGATTCGAGAGATGTTGTTTCACCTGGAGTATTCTCTGGTGATCATTAACAGTTATGACGATATCATCTACATACACAATAAGATAGAAGCACCATTGGGCTGAGTGATGATAAAAAACAGAATGGTCAACTTCACTGCAGACCATAACAAACTGTTGTGCGCTGAATCTGCTAAATCTAACTCTCGGAAATTGCTTAAGATCATAAAGAGAGTTGTGTAGCCTACACACCATATTCGATGACTCCCCTTGAGCAACAAATGAAGGTGTGAAAAATACACAAGAAAGAGGGGGTTTGAATTGGGTATTTCCTCTACTAAAACTTTAAAACTTTTTCTTTTAAGTTGCTTTCTATAGTATTCTTTTCTTTGCGTTGCGGAAACATATAAATCATGATATAAGTAAAGAACACAAGATATATCCTGGTTCACTTGAGCAACCCTCAAGCTAATCCAGTCCACCCTTCCAAGGTGATTTCGCCTCACTCAAGCAAGGACTTAATCCACTATAACCAAACTGATTACAGATATGCACAAGCTAACTGCAGGTGACTAACAAATGGACAATGACACGTTCAGAGATCCCTTAAGGATATAACGTTCATTGATCCCACAAATGACAACTGTCACTTGTCATCTCAAGTATACTGATCTTCACAAGATCACTTGAGGAACCACTAATTCTAAACATAGAATTTATGTTGCAGGAGATTACATGAGTGCTTCTTGATAAGCAGGTTACTCCTAATTTAATACATAGCAGGTATTGAGCAACAGCTCCTTGCATTCTAATATAGAAACTAATCTAAGGATGAATCTTAAGGAGATTATTAAAAACAGTAGTTTCCATATTGCTTAAAAGCTTTCATATGTGAGCACTGCGGCTTCTTAGCGTAAAAGCTTTCCTTTGGTTATGCATACTGATTATAGCAAAGCAGCAGCAAGAACAACGTCAACTGCAATCATGGCAGCGTCATCATTTGAATGACTCAAATGTTCTTCTTTTATAGTGTATCCAATAGATACGTTGTGAGGACAAAGATGTCCATTCAAATATTTCAACTGTCATATCTCCAACGGATAGAATAGTCACGTGTTGGAAAGTATAGTGACATCACTTACTTTGTCTTTTGTACAGATCAGCTTCTGGCTTAACTTCTTCTGATGATGTATCTGATGAGTAGTTCAGAAACTACTTTGGTATGATAGTATAATAACATCAGAGTCTTACTTCAGAACTTGTTTACCAGAGTTTATCAACACGTCTTCATCTGGGTGTTGCTACATAATCTTCAACTTCAGAATCTAGTCTTCAAAGTCTTTCTGCACTTGGTCTTCAGAGCCTTCTGTCTTCAGAACTTCAAGTCATCAGAGTCTTCAGAACGTAATTCTTCAGAAGATTATTTCTTCAGAGTCTTGATCTTCCGAATCCTTAAGTCTTCAGAGTCTTTCTGCACTTGGTCTTCAGAGCTTCAAGTTCAGAGTCTTCAGAGCTTGGTTCTTCAGAGGACTACATCTCAGATGCATTGATAGCTTCCAGATCAAATACACTTCTCAGAACAGAATCCACAAGAGCATTGCAACAACAATATACAGCATCTTTGGATCTTTCTGATTATGATCAGATACAGTGGCAAACTGTTTCTTGAGTAGGCGTTTTAAGTTCTTTATCCAGAATATCACGTGGTACTTCACTCAGAGTTTCACTTTGTTCTTAGTTCAGAGTTTCCTTGAAAGCTATGCTTTAAGTCACGTCACACAAAGTAACTTCATATTGGCTTTCATGCACTTCTTGATATTGTTTGTTGATTTGATATATTTATTTAATGATCTGCGCACAACAAACATTAGAACATAAAATGATTCTTTCATAAATATTTAATTGTTATCATCAAAACATAGAGATATCATGTAGAGACAATTCTTGCTCTTACAACAAACTCAGGTGGTTGCTCCATATACACTTCCTCTTCAAGATCACCATGTAAAAAGGCATTTTTGATGTCAAGTTGATGAAGAGGACTATGTCGAATGGCTGCAATGGCTAGAAGAAGTCTGAGAGAGGCTATTTTGGCTACAGGCGAGAAAGTATCACTATAATCTAACCCAAAAATGAGTGTATCCTTTGGCTACCAAGCGAGCTTTAAACCGATCGATCTTACCATCTGCTCCACCCTTCACTGTATAAAGTCAACGACAACCTACTAAAGATTTCTCAGGGAGTAGAGGAACCAGTTCTCAAATACCACTACTTTGAAGAGCACACATTTCATCAATTATTGCTTGCCTCCACTTAGAATGAAATAATGCTTCATCTAGAGTTTTAGGAATAGAAATAGAAGACAAAGAAGACAAACAAGTATATTGCAAAGGGGAGAGACGATAACATAAATCAATATAATGTGGAGAAGGATTTTGTGTTTGACGTATACCTTTTCGAAGGGCAATCGGAAAATCAGACTCAGGTTGCAGGATCGGATCCGGTGATGGCGAAGGCATCGGAGGAGAGTCTGCAATAACCTCAGGGGCAGGTATGACCTCAAGGATAGGTACGACAGACGTTGATTGGTGATGCTGATATGTTTGAAGTGGACGAAAAATAAGGGGAGAGGGTGTCAACTGAAAGGGTATTTAGTGTGACAGGTTCCCTGGACTGATGGGGAATAATGATAGATAGGGCTTCCGGAAGATGTGCGGGAGTATTTTTCTGAAGGGGTTCCAGAGTTACTTAGCTGGACTCAAAATATGAAACAGACTCAAAGAAGGTAACATCGGCTGATACAAGGTATCATTGTAGAGTATGTCAATAGCAACGATAACCCTTTTAGGATCGGTGATAACCAAGAAAGACACATTTGAGTGATCGAGCTGATAGTTTATCAAGTCCAGGGGAGAGATTGTGTACAAAACATGTTGACCCGAAGACTCGAGGAGGAATTGGATGAAGGGGAGAGTTTGAAAACAGGATTATATGAGGGATTTTATTATTTAGGGCATGTGATTTATAAGATAACATGTCGTGAGCATAGTTTCTCCCCAAAATCCGAGAGGAACATTACCATGGAAAAATATAGGGGTCTGAGTGGTTTCTACGAGATGCCGATTTTTGCGTTCGGCTACCCCGTTTTGTTGAGGTGTATGAGGGCAAGATGTTTCGTGGAGAATACCATTGGATGACATAAAAGTTTGAAATTGTTGGGATAAATATTCACGTGCATTGTCACTTTTTAGGGTACGGATTGACAAACCAAATTGGATTCTTATTTCCCGATAATATTATTCAAAAATAGAAAACAATTCAGATATGTTCTTCATTAAAAATAGTCACGTGCAACGTGAAAAATCATCAATAAAGGTTACAAAATAGCTAGACTCAAAAGTAGACGCAGTACACAAGGGACCCCAAACATTGAAGTGAACTAAAGCAAAAGGGGGCACAGCTCGTGTATTGGCTCGATCGGGAAAGTGACTACGAGTATGTTTCCCTAACTGACAAGACTCACAATGTAAAGTGAATAACTTAGATAAACTGAGCACCAACTTTTGTACCTTGGGAAGACCTGAGTGACCTAACTGCGCATGTATAGTGAGTGGAGAATCTGTGATGGAGCGTGTGGTAGATGACGTAGAGAAGTAGTAGAGGCCTTGAGACTCACATCCGAAGCTAATCGCCTGTCCCGAAGTCCGATCCTACAAGGTAACATTACTGTTAGTAAAGGTGATAGAACAATTAAGGGACCTAGTTAAACGATTGACTGACAGTAAATTAAATAGGCAATTAAGTACGCATAGGTCAAAAGTAATAGAGAGAGATGGTAGAATTTGAATAGTGCCAATCCCTTGAGATCGGGTTTGAGAACCATTTGCGACAGTTATACTAGGTAAGAAACCGGAGATAGAAAGGGAAGAGAA